CAATGGAAACTGTAATCCCCGTTCTCAAGGAAAACAGAAGAAGAGGAGAGAAGATGGTGGGAGTAAGAATTTGGAAACTGGGCGAATTGTTTCCCTGTATTTTGAGAAGAATTTCTGTCCTTCCAATGGAAACTCTAGTCTCTGTTCTCAGACAAAGCAAGAGAAATCTCACTCCAATAGGAAGAGGAAGAAGAGGAGAGAGGATGGAGAAACTGTGCGGGTTGTTTCCCCTTATTTTTCAAGGAGCATGTGCCGAGAAGGTGAAGCCAGCAACGATGAATCTGGTCCGAGTTCCCATCGTAAAGAAAAGAAATCCCATTCCAAGAAGAGAGAAGATGGTGGGAGGAAGGGTTTACAAACTGCCCAAGTTGTTTCCCCTTATTTTCACAACAGATTCCGTTCTTGTTCCGATAGAAATGGCAACTCTAGTCTTGATTCCGACATAAAAGAACAGAAATCTTGTCCCAGGAGGAGAGAACATGGTGGGAGGAAGGATTTAGAAACTGGACGAATCGTTTCCCCACACTTTCAGAAGAATTCCCACCCTTCTTCCGATGAAGGTGGCAACTCTAATCCCCATTCCCACACAAAAGAAGAGAAATCTCTTTATGAGGCGATAGAAAATGGCAGGAGGAATGACACTGTCCCTGTGGACAAGGAGAAGATACAATTATCTGATTCCTTGATTAACACAAGGCTAGGTCCTCTTGCTGCCGCTAATAAAAGCAGACAAAATTCCTCAACTACTTACGGAGGGAAAGATCTTGATGAAATGCTTTCAAATTACACGTATAAAGGTGACGGGCATTCCAAGGCCAAGGAGGTTCCTGAACCACCTCCATTGGGGAAGGATATGAGATCCCAAATTCTAGCCAATCAAGTTGTAAAGGCGCAAGGGAATGAGCTGGAAATCAAGAATGTTAGAAATGGGGATAAGATCCAGACCTCAACAGGGCTGCAGGAGTTGGTAAATGAAGGTGAAGTCAAGACAATCAAACGAACAAAGCCTTGTCCCAAGGTGTTAAAGGTCTCTCCCTACTTCCAGAACACACCTAGGGAGGAAGACAAAAAAGGACAGAAAAAGGTAGGAAGGCCTTGTCAGCTTTCTGCTTCTGAGAAGCGTGATGAGGCTTATAAAAGAAGAAGCCCAGATAGTCCATGGAGGCCTCCTCGATCTGAGTTTGGTCTGCTCCAAGAAGATCATGTCCATGACCCTTGGCGGGTTTTGGTTATATGCATGCTTCTTAACAGAACAACTGGTCGCCAGGCTGAAAAAGTTATATTAGACCTCTTCACTTTGTGTCCGAATGCGAAGACTGCTACTGAGGTTGACACTGAGGAGATAGAGAAAGTCATACAAACTCTAGGACTACAGAAGAAGCGGGCAGCAATGATACAGCGCTTCTCTCAAGAATACCTTGAAGAAAGCTGGACCCATGTCACTCAGCTGCATGGCATTGGAAAGTATGCAGCCGATGCATATGCAATATTCTGTACAGGAAAGTGGGATCGAGTTAAACCTGCTGATCACATGTTGAATTATTATTGGGAATTTCTCTGCACTAGAAAAAACACCACGGTCTAGATTTTTGTTCTCATTTTTTTACTAGGACTAACTTAGTTGCTGTTTAGGCGAATGTGTAGAGAAGTTTAGCAAAAAGCACTTTTTATTTAATCAAAATTTCTTGGTTAGAATTGATGACAAAAAGAAGGAAACTAGAATGGGGGAATTCTATTTGTAAGAAATATCGTTATGATCAGAAAAAAAGCTTTTTTAATCTATTTTTTGATATTGTAAAAGAAAAAAAAAATTCTCCACTGGGTTATTAATCAAGAATAAAGACTTGTAATAGTGACTAGCTTAAATCCAATTAATCTATGCTAATCTTATCACCCTAACTGCATAAGGAGTAATATCTCACCATTCTTTTAATTACTACCCTTTCCTTTTCCTTGTCATTTTGAGATAAGATAGTATTTGTGAATATACAGAATCACTACAGCCGCCGGCTTATGTAACCTAGTAATTTCAACCGTCAAAAAATAGGAAAATAATCTATAGCATATCAAAAGTAAGATGTGAGTAACATGTCATAATTCTTTCTCGTATTTTCTTTATTTCGTGTGCCCCAACAAGCCTCTCACTATGAGATATCGTATGATTGCGAAACAGACCCTTCGTCTCATTTCGTAAAAACCTGTCCTCATCCTCTGCTTGGTCCCTTTCGATCGGCTTGTTTTCTCTTTTCTCTTTGCTCTTTGCTCTCTTATTCTCTTCATTTTTTTTGGGTCAATCTCTCAAGCTTTCAATGGCTGATCATTCTGATGTTTCATCTTCGGTCCTGTAATCCTATGAGACCAAACATTCATCTTCTGCCCTGTCATCCTCTGAGACCGACCTTTCCGATTATTGCAAGTCTCTCTCTGTTTGCTGTACCTGGTTGGCAATCCAACCCAAAATTGACCTCCTTTTTTTGGAAAAGAAACGTTCTTATCAGATTTAAATAAACGCTGGATTAGAAATCATTTAAATTTCAATCCAACTCCATAGGTCAAGTAGAGATAAAACCCAAAATCAAAAGCCCAATCAAGCCTCAAATACAAAAACCCATTTGCACCCACTGCAAAAAGTTAAATAATGTCTAAGAATAATCAATTCTACTTCACAGGCTGATAGTGTTTAGCTAAGATTCTACCGCCTACAAGGCTAATTTTGAAGGAATATAACCTTAGTTGCACTAAATTAATTTGGCATAGCTTTTTGGAGGGACTGTGAACGTGGAATGTGCCTTGGCATTCCATTTACTTTTTCAGATTCTTCTTTCTAAGATGCCACAGCATCCAAATCTGAATAAATCTATTGACTTGTGTTCTATGCTAGCTTCTGCTGAAGAAATATTTATATTTCATCAGAATTTTCATGTAGATCTTTTCTAAATCATGGGTGATGATTTAGTGAACTCCATTATAGTTTCTCTTTTCTCAGGAGAAGAACAGAAAATATAATCAAAATTTCTAATTGCTAGCATCCAAGGAAAGCCTCTGAAAATAAGTTGATTTTTGAATTTTACTCACAATCGCCTGGCGGAGAGACAGAATCAGACAGGGAAAGAAAGTAAAGAAGATAGAATTGTCATCAATGAAGTGCTAGTAATTGCAGGACACTCAAGAAGTGATTGTTTAGTTGTAAACATGGCTAGCTGAACACAAGTTAGAACATTAAAGAACTGCAGAATACAAAGACATTGTCTTTCACAATGTCTTCGCTTTATAGCCATCGACTGCTTAAACAACTTGACCATTTTCTGCATCTTTATATCTCCCTTTATGGCTGGAATTCTCTCTGATAATTCTTTTTCTGCCTGTTACCTTCTTTGTTTTCTCATAAATCTTGAACACCCTTTACTGAAAATGGAATAGAAATCTGAGATTACAGATAACATTGATCTGAATTTCTTTTGATTCAACTTGACAGTTCAGTTTTGGTAAGAAGGAAGATGGGGAGTTCCTCAAGGCATGGGAGAGGTACTCACCTTCATTCCTCCGTTTCCTTGAAGGAAAGGAGGAGCGGTTATGAGCCTTCTGATATGGCGGCAAGAAAGTCCATGGCATGATCACAACCAAAAAAATGAAGCTGGTGATCTTAACATGGTTTATGTTTTGCCCAGAAACATAAAGATAAGTCCTATGAGACTCAGACAAAGAAAGTCTTCAATGTTTGCGTACCATGATGAATCTTCCGCGGCTAATATGAATTCCAGAATCAGCCAAACTCAAAGGAGAGCTAGCAACACGTCACCATATAAACTAAGGAGGGGGGATGATGGCATTGATCTTTTGCTCAAACCCAACTTGGATGGCAATCGAAACTAAGCCACTGTCCAAATTTGAGCACAGAAGATATATTTCTCCTTATAAATCTGAAAGAATAGACAGAAGTGGATGCTAATGGGTTAAGGACAATCTTCTTGTGTCAAACAGAAAGCAAAATCAAAGAACACCTACTAGAGATGAGAGGGCAAGTAACTCACAGCTTCATGGAGTTAGTAAGGTGAGCGAAAGTCTGAACTACAATCGAAGATCAGTTGCTGCCCTGAGAATGAGAGCAACAGAGATGGAGCAACAGAGATGGACCAACAGAAATTATAGATCAGCAATGGGAATCAAATGAAGCGAATGGGAGAGAGAACTCCATCACCTTTAGCAAGGAACATCGTAGGGAAGCGTGGTGAAGTTTCACAGTCTGCAAAATCACCATCAGTTGGGGAAATCAATGAAATGGCTGCCAACTCAAAGATGTCAAGAGGGCCTTATATTGATGTTGCAAATATTGAGAGCACCAAGTGACGCGATA